CACAATTCCTCTGATGCTTTATGCCAGTTTCAGAACATTCAGTTTGCAGGCTCCAGCTGCCGCCTCTTTACTAAGGATGTGCAATCCCTTTACACCATCCCCCACTAGGATGGTCTCAGGGCACTCTGCTTCTTCCTGGAACAAAGGCCTGAATGATCCCCACCCACCACTAGCCCCCTCCGTCTGGCTGAACCCGTCCTCACCCTTAACAACTTTTCTTCTAACTCCTCTCAATTTCTTCAGATCAGAGGGGTGGCCATGGGTACCCACATGGATCCCAGTTATGCCTGTTTCTTTGTAGGGTACATGGAATATTCCTTGTTCCAGTCCTATCCGGCCCAACCCACAACTCTTTCTCCAATGTATCGATAATATCATCAATGCTGCTTCCCCCTCTTGTCTGGAATTAGAAATATTTATTGATTTCACTTCCAATTTCCACCCTGCTCTCACTTTCACCTGGTCCATCTCTGACTCGTCCGTTCTCTTCCTCGTCATCTCTGTTTCCATTTTGGGGATAGGCTGGCCTCCAACATCCACTAAAAATCGGCTGACTCCCGCAGTTACCTCGATTACACATCCTCACACCCTGCTTCCTGTAAAAACTCTATTCCATTCTCCCAGTTCTTCCATCTCTTTTGCACCTGTTCTGATGATGCCAACCTCAAAAAGGGAACCTCTGAAATGCCCACCTTCTTCCTCAACTGAGGATTTTTTACCAAAATTCACTGGACTCTGGGGTGGTTCCTGCAGATTGGAAAACAGCCAATGTGACACCACTGTTTAAAAAAGGAAGTAGACAAAAAGCAGGTAAGTATAGGCCAGTTAACAACTTTGGTAGTGGGGAAAATGCTTGAATCTATCAGTAAGGAAGAAATAGCAAGACATCTGGATATAAATTGTCCCATTGGGAACACCCAGCATGGGTTCATGAAGGGTAGGTCATGTTTAACTAATTTGGTGGAATTCTTTGAGGACATTACTTGCATGGTGGGCAATGGGGAGCCTGTGGATGTGTTGTGTCTGGATTTCCAGAAGGCATTTGACAAGGTGGCACACCAAAGGCTGCTACATAAGAAAAAGTTGCACGATATTACAGGTAATGTATTGGCATGAATAGAGGAGCGGTTGACCAGTAGAAAGCAAAGAGTAGGGGTAAATGGGTGTTTTCCGGGTTGGCGGTCAGTGGCTTAGTGGTGTACCTCAGGGATCAGTATTGGGACCGCAATTGTTTACAATTTACATAGATGATTTGGAGTTGGGGAGTAAGTGTGGTGTGTCAAAATTTGCAGAAGACACTAAGGTGAATGGTAGAGCAAAGTGTGCAGAAGACACTGAAAGTCTGCAGAGAGATATAGATAGCCTAAGTGAGTGGGCAAAGGTCTGGCAGATGGAGTACAATGTTGATAAGTGTGAGGTCATCCACTTTGGTAGGAATAACAGCAAAATGGACTATGTTTTTAAATGGTAAAAAATTGCAGCACGCTGCTGTGCAGAGGGACTTGTGAGACCTTGTGCATGAATCGCTAAAGGTAGGATTGCAGGTGCAGCAGGTAATTAAAAACGCAAATGGAATTTTGTCTGTCATTGCTAGAGGGATGGAATTTAAAAACAGGGAGGCTAAACTGCAGCTGTACAGGGTCCTGGTGAGGCCACACCTGGAGTACTGTGTGCAGTTTTGGTCTCCTTACTTGAGAAGGGATATACTAGCACTGGAGGGGGTGCAGAGGAGATTCACTCGGTTGATTCCAGAGTTGAGAGGGTTGAATTATGAGGAGAGACTGAGTAGACTGGGATTATACTCATTGGAATTCAGAAGAATGAGGGGAGATCTTATAGAAACGTACAAGATTATGAGACAACAAGGTGCAGGGCTGGATGAACACAGCAGGCCAAGCAGCA